TTGTGAAATCGCTTGAATGCTTCAACTGCTTGAGCTTTATCTTTGAGTAGATAAAGCCAAGTAAAACGAGTAAAGGCGTCTATAAACGTTACATAATACCTATAACCATTAGAAGCAACATGGGGAGGTCCCCAAAGATCAGAAAAATTAGCTCAAATGGTGCACTGTATTGGGTACTTGATGAAGGAAACGGTTGCTTGTGACTTTTACCCATAAAGCAAGCCACACAAGTTTATTAACATCAAGGTCAAGTCTTACATCAAGTTCTTTTGCAACTTTACTAAACGCAAAACTAGCTGGATGCCCCAACCGTCGATGCCACAGCTCAGATTGAGAGGCAGATGCAATGTTAGCTTCAGCAGTCTTCTTTTCTGCATCAAGCCCGCTCAGCGAAAACACATATAAACCACCTTTCTCAACACCTTGAAGTAAGATCGCCTTGGAACGTTCATCACGAACAAGACATCTTTCAGCATGGAATTCAAGATAAACCTTGTTGTCCCTAGCAAGCTTGGATACGGAAAGCAAATTTTTGGTTATATAAGGTACATGTAACAACTCGTTCAAGATCAGGGTTCTTGACGAGTCAGTAGTAAGAGGAAGTTGAGCAGTACCAATGTTATGAATATCAATGGAGGCCCCATTTCCGATAGTTAGTTTACCTGGACCTCGAAATTCAGTGGTGTTCGAAACATTTGTTGCATCTGGGGTAATATGATGCGTGGCTCCAGAGTCGACCACCCAGTGGTCATTAAATCCAGAAGCAGTGTTGGCTTGCATACTGCCTGCTTCTTGGGAGTGGCCCTTGCAGCATTCACAGCCGAGTCTCGAAGTATCAGCAGCCGAGTAATGAGCGTTGATAGACTGACTTTTACGAGTATTGTGAGTTTGAGAGTCAAACGTCACACACATAAATTCCTCATCAAACCGGTGCCAGCAACGATCTACCATGTGACCAACTTTGCCGCAAAGTTGGCATTGAACTTTGGCTCGGCCTCGACCTTGACCACCAGTTCTGTTGACAGTCGATGGGCGTATGTTTTTAGAGTCTCGACGCCCATTAAAAGACGAATCATGAACTTCCTTTCTTTTAGCTATATTGGCGGCCATAGGTACGTGATCTAATTGCTCATCAAACCCGGCCAGTTGTGCTTCAGCATCTAACAGAACAGTATGTAAACTATCCAAAGATAACGTTTCCTTCATTGTGGTGATGACAGCCATAAATGGTTGATATTCCCTAGGCAGGCCTTTCAAAATGCTTGCAACATGGCCAACATGTGAAACAGCGCTGCCACACGATGCTAGTGCGTCGCACACTTCCTTCACTCGAGTAAGGTATACCCGCATACTGTCATTGCCTTTCTGGAGTGACTGTAGTTTGCAATGCAAGCTCATGGCAGCAGTCGTGGACCTGCTCGCAAAAAGTTGTTGAACAATATTCCACACATCGGCTGCAGATTCAGCACCCACAAAGTGAGGAAGCAGAGGAGAACTGATGGTTGATAGAAGCCAAGAGGCCAGCGCACTATCCTGCGCTACGTAATCTTCGAATGCATCATTGGCACGAGTTACCCCAGAGTCATCGAGTATTGTCTCCGGTGGTGGCCTGAGCACTCCAGTTAGCAGACGTTCAAGTCGGTGGCTCCTTACCGTGAGCAGGATTTGCTGCTTCCACAGGAGGAAATTTGTCTCATCAAGAACGACATTGATTCTCTTGTGAGAGAAGCCGGTACGTGTGAACGACTCCATGAAGCTCCAAACCAAGATGCACAGACACAAGTTGTGAATTAAGAAACCCAAGATCGATCGGCGAAAGATACCATGTTGAAGAACAGAATACAAAGATCAGTATATTTCTTATCTGTTTTCAGTTCACAAGTATGCCAGCTTTATAGCTGGTGTTGAGCTAATAACTGCTCTAACAATCTAACAAACTCTGGCGCCAAATATAACCGAAACTATCCACATGCTATAGCCATGCTATTGTACGTGCACGTCTACAGCTTACAGCCATGTATCGGCAGATTCTAACAATTAAGATTTGCAGAACATACCCATGACGAAGGAGAGTGAGAAATGGATATAAAATTGGAAATTTTAGTATTCATGAAACCACCGACCTCCGGGATTATCATGTTGCCTGCCTCCATCCATGCTAAACCACATTAATATTTCTTTTTCTTCTTCTCAAAACTAGACTAATTTCTACAAACTGCATTTAATGCATGAATCAAAGGCCAACACGTACAAGGTCAACTGACAGAAATAAATTCCTCTTTTGTGGATAATTTAGCCTTACCTGATTCTGCTAAATGCCAGTGTATGCGAAACCATGCTCAGGAATTAAATCCAAGCAGTCAATGGCAGCTGAGGACACCATGGGCTCTTCCAGTGGTTATTTCATACATCCTTGCATGGGCACTACTTTGTGGCTGACAACTTGTGCCCAGATGCCATGCTTTAGGGATTAGCCCACTGCAATTCAGATGAGAGCTATAGGTCGATAATGGCCATTCAAGAGAAAGCTAGCGAAAATTTACATTCAGATAAGCACCATCCCACATTATTCACAGATTCATTAACAGGCTCATTATAGTTATTTGTATACTTAGAGAGATTTAGTTGTCAAATACTAGATTACCAGTTACGTAAACTTATAAGGGATCTTATCTATGTACTGTAGTTGATTAGGAAACTTATGTCCGGAAATTCTGGATGCCAAGGAAGGTGTTCAGGTATTAATAGCTCCATCTGATGTCAATTGTCAAGTAGAATGTTTCCAAAAAAATATTGCTTTTAGAAACAAGGCAATGATTGGCATAGTATTTAAATTTTGGACCATAAAGTAATGTAACGGTCGCATTGTAATATTTTTCAAGTTCACCACGATACCACAACATTACTCGTAATATAAAATCATAATTTATTTCACGTCTAAAAATAACTTTTAAATAATTTAATTAACTGTGTAAATTTTCGTAAACGACAGACACTGGAAAAATATGCGAGTGAATAGTATAGCGCTTGCGGGCCGGAGAATAATATGACGCCTATAGCATGAGTACAATATGTTGCCCGAAGCACGAGACCAATATGATGCATTAAGTACATAAAAAATATGGTACTGGGAGCACAAGTTTGATTGTATGGTGCACGGGATTTTTGTTAGTCACGTAACACCCTAAACTCCTAATAATTTTTCCAAGTTTAGGGATTGATTTGAAAAAAAAGTGAAAGTTGAGGTTTCCCTTAGTAATTGTACCAAATGGTACCCTTCGTGGATTTGTAATTGGAATAAATTATATCATTTCTCACTGGAGTTTACTTTCTCTCCTGTGTTATTTCTTGTAGTTTTGATATTTTCAATTTACTCACTGAACTTTCGAATTGCTCTTGTTTTGGTCACTCTGAATTATTTTATCATTAAATTTAAAAACATTTAAAATAATCACCGCCCACTATCAACCAACGTTAACCACCGTCGGCCTTCGAAATCGACAGTCATTCGGTCTCAAGTTTCATGGGCCACTTCGCCTTGACCTCCTAAGTCCGAATGTGGTGGTTGTTTCACCGGAAAATATCTCAAAATCCGTGAATCTCGATTAAAATGTTTTGATTTCCTCACTTTCGATATTCAATTCGTAGAATTCAGAGCATGTTCTGACCAAATGGAGGTCAAATTCAGGTTCAGGGGTTGAGGCGAAGCGACCCATGAAATCTAGAACCGAACGACCACCATATACGATAGTCAACGACGACTAGAGTTTTGATCTTCTCATTTTTTATCGATTTTTAATTATGTTCCGACAAAATAGATATCAAATTCGGACTCATGGGGTCGAGACAAAGCGACTGATGAAATCTGAGATCGAGCGAACACCATCTACAACCATCGACGGTGATGTCCAACGTTAATGAACAATGCACAATCACCTTCTGTTTTTATTTTATATTTTACATTATTTTTATATTAAATAATAAAAAAATAGCACATCATACCAAAATAATAATAAAATAACTTGGAGTGACCAAAGCAGAAATAATTCAAAAGTTTAGTAAATAAATTAGAAAAAGTGAAAGTACATTAAATAGGAGAGAGAGTAGAGCTCAATGAAAAATTATGTATTTTACCCTTATAATTGTATAATGCATGTCCTCCTTTTATGTGTCTTCTCAATTTTCTTGCCCAATTGCCGGTCTCCTCCAAATCCTGCAAAACGAGGATTACCGGTTGAGCAGGTAAAGGTCTAGGAGCATCACTTGCTCTCACCAGTCTCCAAATTCAGCTTATTTCTTCCTCTCTTTTTTCTCTACTCCTGGATTCTTGAAAGACTGAAACTATTTGGCTATTTGCTCAAGTCACTTCCATAAAAATGGTTAGTTATTATTATCTCCTCCTTTTCTCTCTCTTTTATTTTAATAATTAATATGATTTCACGATGAAATGTTAACGTATCTGATTCATGCAAAACTCTATTCTCTGATCTTAAACTCTTTTTTTTCTTTTTAATTGCTTGGTTGAATCGTCAATGTGTGTTTTAAGTACGTTTAGACGATTGAATTTTTGTGTAAATTATTCTTATTCGTTTTTTCACTTGATGTTATACGTTAACTTTCTGTTTGGTTAAATGCAAATACGGGATTACATTAACGGAATCACTAACTAATTCGTCTGTTTGATCCAGGAATTTTGGCGCCTAGCTGGTTTTGGCCAGTTCATTGAAAGGTTAGTTACTGACCTCCTTCCATTGGTCTTGAACTGTAGTTTAACCTGCAATCAAGTGACGGTGATTTGAGTCCTGTTTCTTTCGAATTGTAGGTTGTTGAACATTTGAATCAGGTTTAGGTTACATCAATTCAGCTTAACATTTAGAATACACATTCGGAAATGTCGTCGCCGGATGGTGATGCTAATCAGAATAAAGATACGAAAAATGGGGATGGACTCTGTACCTTGGATGGATTTGAAGAAGGCGACTTTTCAAAGTTGCTAGAGAAGCCAAGGCTCCTGAATGTACAAAAGGCAGAGCTCATTGGAAGAAAGGTTTCTCAATGAACTACCTATTGCGCTGAATCAAGGCAGAGCTACTGATATTAGTTTACCTCGAATATATGAGCCACTGGAATTTATCTCTTCGCCTGCGGGTAGAAGGTCAGGTTTGAATACACCAAGGTCACACACTGGTTTTGACGTACATCCAATTGTTGGTGAAGCTTGGGATTCTTTGAGAAGAGTATTGGTGTATTTTCGTGGTCAACCAGTTGGGACTATTGCAGCGTTGGATAATTCTGAAGAAAATCTAAACTACGATCAGGTGAAGCTCACATTGCTTTTGTAACCCTATCTTAGTTTTTTTTTAATTTATTTGCTCAACCAATATAAAAGTTCTATTAGCAAAAGAGAATTCGAAGAGGTAACAAACCAGAAACACCCAACTGCAAACAAAGACCTTGCAACCAAAACAAAGAGCAACACCACAACCCAAAAACAACATTACATTTAGACTACAAATAACAAAGTCCTACAAACCTCGAAAGAGAAAAACTGAAAATCTAGAAATCACCAACCATAGAAGATGATCCACATGATTTCACCGTGACACATGTAAACTTTGGCTGCACTCGTCCATTGTAACCAATATGGAATCTCCAAACCTTATGCCTCCATCTCAGTTGAAAGCAATATCAATTCAATTAGCACATACTCCACATGTTCTCTCTGTCACGATACTTGATCATTGTATTGGTAATGGTGATTAAATGTTAAATTTCAGTATATGAGCTGAATGTATCGTCCATTTGTTAATTGCCTGCAGTTCTATGACTGTTCTTTTTGCAGTTAATGTTTGTGACTACAAGAACTACTATTCTTGTATCACGAGCAAAGTCAGTGGTATTAATTCAAAAGAGAAAGACACAATTAGCATATCTTTCAGCACTATATTTTTCTTTCTTCTAAATACTTGGGTTAGAATGTAGTCCTTGCGGACATTTATTATGTTGATCGTTGGATGGTGCAAGATATAGAAGTATTTTACTTTTTCCTGTTTGCATGGTTTTAATTTAAAAATGGAGCTCATCCAGTTCATATTTTTCGTTTTCCCTCTATTTATCATGTTATATTGACATACTAGGTTTCGTATTTTAGATTTTGTGGCGCTTTATCCATTTGATTCTATTTTCTTTATGAACTCTCCTAGTTTTTGAAGCTCATATGAAACCAACTTTTTGAGTTTGCAAAGAATGCTTTAGTTTGTAAATATGTTTGTTTATTTTTTTTTTCTGCAAAGGTCTTTGTGAGAGATTTTGTCCCTAGCGCATTAGCTTTCCTGATGAATGGGGAACCGGAAATAGTAAAGAACTTCATTTTGAAGACCCTTCGACTTCAATCATGGGAGAAAAAGATTGATCGGTTTCAGTTTGGAGAAGGAGTAATGCCAGTCAGTTTCAAAGTTCTCCATGACCCAGTTAGGAACAGTGAAACACTGATTGCAGATTTTGGTGAGAGTGCAATAGGAAGAGTTGCTCCTGTAGATTCTGGATTTTGATGGATCATTTTACTTCGAGCATAAACGAAGTCTACAGGAGATACCTTATTGGCAGAGTTGCCAGAATGCCAGAAGGGTATGCGCCTAATTCTGGCTTTATGTCTCTCCGAAGGGTTTAACACATTTCCCACGCTTCTCTGTGCGGATGGTTGCTGCATGATTGATAGTAGAATGGTGAGCTTTTCACAGCCTACCATTCATTATGTTCCAAAATCATCATTTTTCGTTAAAAAATTAACGGTCAGTTAAGTTAGACGTTAGCATGTTTACTGCGATATGATAGTTGTTTAAGATTATGATATCATATTTTATCATATCTCAGTCAATAAGTTAACGTACATCTCATACCGACGTCAATTTTTAACGAAAAAGAAGGATCTTGGAATATAATGAATAATCGAGTGATCATTTTGTAACTTTTAATAGTCAATGGACTAAAAAAAGTAACTTCCTATAGTCATATGACTATTTTATAACTTTTAATAGTCAAAATACTTAATAAAACATTATCCTATAGTCAGAGGACCATTTGTGTACTTTACCCATTAACGTAAAATGATCACTCTAAGATTCATTATGTTCCAAACTCATCATTTTTCGTTAAAAAATTAACGGCCAGTTAAGTTGGACGTTAACATGCTAATTGAGATATGATAGTTGATTGAGATAATGATATCATTTTTTATCATATCTCAGTCAACAAGTAAACGTACATCTCATACTGACATTAATTTTTAACGAAAGAGGAGGAGTTTAGAACATAATGAATAGTCGGTGACTATTTTGTAACTTTTAATAGTTAAGGGACTAAAAAAGTAGTTTCTTATAATTAAATAATTATTTTATAACTTTTAATAGTCGAAAGACTTAATAAATCATTATTCTATAGTCACGATTTGTCTCCTATACCCTAAAATTAACTTACTTCTATTGAAAAATATAATAAAATATTTTTGAACTTTAGACATTATCCGGTTGACTTAACTTATGATATCATTAAATTAATAATTTAATACTTATGGTGATTAACTATTGTGATAGTTATTCGTAAATACATTAATTATACAGATGTAATTGTTATTGTAATTAAAATGTAAAGCAAGTTAGGCTATAATTAGGGATGGTCATGGGACCCGATTTCAACAGCCCGATCCGATTCGACCTAAAAAATGTTACACCATCCACCCGATCCGAATTAGATCCGATTTTTTGAGATAAAATTCGAACCCAACCCAAAATAATAAAAAATATTAATTGTATTTAATAAAAATATGGATTTAATTAAAAAATTAATATATAGAGGAGTATTATTGTAATTATTCCTAAATATATAAGATAAAATTATTTTTCGAGTCGGGTCGAGTATTTTTCACCTTAAACCCAACCCCAAAATTTTAGAAAAAAATGTAGGTCGAGTTGACCAAAACCCAACCGAAACCCGATTCGTGCCCTTCCCTAGCCATAACCGACATTAGAAAAAGTTAGATTATATAATTTATGAATGGGCAAATCCTCCTATCCACGTTATAAGATATGAATTTAATCTTTACATTTTAATTGAATTCATTAATTGCTCTTAGTAATAAAAAAAAAAGTTATTCTCTTAAAAATTATGTGTTCAATTAACTGTATCTACAAGGTTTAAATTGTTATATATTAAGAAAGTTCCGAATATATATTATCTTATAAAAATCTTAGATTATTCTAAAAAGATATTTATATTGTAATTTAAGTAATTTTATTTTTATATTTTTTTAGTTTTAAAATTGTAACCTAATCTAAATAATATAAGAAAAATATAATTAAATTATGATAGATTAAAATAATTAAATAAAAAGATATAAATTTATATATAATACATAAACTAATATTAAAATTTTATTAAAAAATGATTTGATTCGTAACAGAAAATTCAGAATTTTAAAAACATATTAATAAAGTGACCAAATAATGTACAAAAACTAAATCCACAGAACCACAACTTACGTATATTGTAGGGACTTATTATATAATTAAACCATTTATAAATTATAAATTCAGATTTCTCGCCCGTTAAGTAAAAATCCACCCGAATCACTTGTAACTTTCTTAGTCCCAATCGAAGCGATCGAGATCGGAGATTCGAGGGGAAGAAAAAAATCCAAATATTTTTTTTATTTTTCTTTTCTAATAAACGGAAAACTTAGATCAAATTCTCAATCCTACTTCTTGTAAATCCCTAAATTTCCCCACATATTCTCGGGAAAAAGAATAAAGGAGAGATGAAGACACCGAAACGGCCGATCCATGCGGTATCGATGTGGGTGAGACGACAGCCGCCGAAGGTGAAGGCTTTTTTGGCGGTGGTATCGGGGATGGCTGCGCTGGTTCTTCTCCGATTCATTGTACACGACCACGACAACCTCTTCGTCGCTGCCGAGGCTGTCCACTCCCTCGGAATCTCCGTCCTCATCTATAAACTCACCAAAGAGAAGACTTGTGCTGGTAATTAAAAAAAAGGCGAAAACTTTAATCTTTTCTCCAGTTGATAAACAATTCTATATTTTATTATTCAAATTGTTTTCGATTAGTTTGTAGCTTAAATTTAATACATTATACATGGGTGTTTTTTCCTTCTAAATTTAGTAATTTCAAAAACTCGTGACGGGTAATCGCTAAGCTGCAAAATTTTAAAGGTTTTGGTTTGGCAACTATGTGTCCAGTGTAAGGATTTTTTTATTTGCTTTATAGTTCTTTCTAGGTTGAGCTCCTGGCTTGATTTCTCTTCTCTTTCGATTGGAATCAATTTTTTTTTGTTTGGTGAGTTGAATTCAATTCTGATTTATAAATCTACAGTTTTGTCCTAATTCTTTTCACTTATCACGAAGTTTATGAGTTATGTTGCATTTCATGATACGATGTTGATGGTTTTGATTGAATTTCGTTCTATTTCGTTGGAGGATGTTTAATTGAATTCTGACGGATAGAATATTTAAGTTATTTTGTGTGGTAATGATCTTTCTATGGTGTTTTATCAATTTTCGATAAAGGGTTTCTTCTTGATGCAAAGGGAAGCCTTTTTTGTTTGTCTTACAATTCAATAAATTTTGCCAGTTTTCCCTCTTTTTACTTGTGCCTCATGCTATTCCTTTCCGTGATAAAAATATGCAATTTTTATGGTGTTTTCCGAACTGTTAGGCAGCACTAGAATGTTCAATTGATAAAGAAATGCAGCTTTTGGACCAAGAGGAGCTTCTCTCTCTCCCGATTTTCCTGCAATGCTTAATGCTTGCTTGTTATTTAAATTTATTATGTCATCTAATCTTGGTCAGTTGTTTACGCAACATAGATGATTTAATTGATTAACCTCTCAATTATTGGTTAAGTGTATTTTAACTGAGTGTAGAAAGCCTTTAATGATGAAAATATTGGTTTCATTCAATTATTTGAAAATATTTTTGAATGGTTGCAGGATTATCACTCAAAACCCAAGAACTAACAGCTATCTTTCTAGCTGTTAGGCTGTACTGTAGCTTTGTCATGGAATACGACATACACACCCTACTTGATTTAGCCACGTTGGCTACAACTTTGTGGGTTATTTATATGATCCGTTTCAAACTGAAGTCCAGCTACATGGAAGACAAGGACAACTTTGCGATATATTATGTTGTGAGTTTTTATCAGTCTTATTTGCAGTTATATGTGTGCTGTTCTGTCCTACGAATTGTTGGGTTTAGAATTGAATCCTACTGGCTTTATCTCCAGTGTTTCATGTTTTCCTTGTCAAGAGATTGTCTTGTTTTCTTGTAAAGCTTATTCTCTCAGTATCTGATGTTTATGTAATGTTGATATAGATGTCCATGCTTACTGAGGCAAATTGCTGCAATATCTGCATACTAGAAAATATAAATCTCCTTTCCTTCAAATCTGTTTCGGAAATAAAAGATCTACTTAGTTTTGACTTTTTTTGTTCTCTTTCTTCTTTTTCATGTATAGTCTTCTAATTGTCTCCATTCAGCTGTAATTTATCATTCTTTTTTTTTATAAGAAGCATTAATTTATCTTCAGTTTTCCTTGGTGCTTGTTTGTTTTAAATACCACTTTGAAAGACACCTTATACCTCGCTCTTCTTGTTTTGATTCACAGATTCTATCTTGTAACCAATTAGATTATCTGTTCCTTGATTGGGTTTTTGTAACATATTCTAGAAATAATGCCCTTGCTTACAATTTGGATTCAGGTTGCCCCTTGTGCAATACTAGCTCTGTGTATTCACCCAACAACTTCTCATAATCTAGTAAACAGGATTTTCTGGGCATTCTGCGTGTATCTGGAAGCTGTTTCTGTTTTACCTCAGTTGCGAGTGATGCAAAATACTAAGGTCAAAATTACTTAGATGGTCGATATACTTTCATAAGATTTATAAATATATCGTCCTTAACTCATCTTCTTTATGTGTTTTCAGATTGTTGAGCCTTTTACAGCTCATTATGTATTTGCCTTGGGTGTTGCAAGGTTCCTCAGCTGTGCTCACTGGGTTCTACAGGTTTGATCTTGTGACATTAAGTTGAACGTGATTGGGTTTCAGTTAGTCATGTATTAACATTAGCTATTTTAAAATTGACTCATTCTGAGCATTAAATGGATACCAGTCTGTTTATTTATAATTTTCCTACTTTGGAAAAAAAATAAATAGACAGCTTTGACCTGCATGATGAAGGATCCTGAAGGTTGGATTGAACGGTTGTTGCCTAGAATGAGGCTGGTTGTTGCGTTTAGATGTCGATTCCAGTCATTAGCCACATTTGGTTTTAACATACATATTTCTGTGTAGAGGGGAAGCTTTATATGATACTGGTTCACGAAATGTTATTGTGAATCTTGAGGGTGATAGTTTTAAGATGTTAATCCATTCTCTACTGCTTTCTACAGGTTCTAGACAGCCGAGGACGCCTGCTGGTAGCCTTGGGTTACGGATTGTGGCCTTCTATGGTTCTTATATCGGAGATTGTTCAAACTTTCATTTTAGCAGACTTCTGTTACTATTATATCAAGAGGTCGGCTACAACCTTTGTAAAGTGGAACTAAGTATCCTAGTCCGACTACATATATGTGTTTTACTTACATAATCATTTATGCTTTTGCAGTGTCTTTGGAGGGCAGCTTGTTCTCCGTCTTCCCTCGGGT